GTGTTGGGTTGGGGATAAGATGGGGTGTGAGGGGAGCTGGGATGGGGAGGGACAGGGAGAAGGGGAGGGACAGGGAGTAGGAGGAGGAAGAGAGAGGATGTGAGGGAGAGGGGTGAGGGGGGATAAGGGGAGGGGGAGGAAGGAGGGGAGGGGAGAGAGAAGTTGTGAGGGAGAGGAAGGAGAGGAGAGAGAGGAAGGAGGGAAGGGAGATGGTATACAGGAGTGAGGAGGGGGCGGGGAGAAGGGGAGGGAGGCGGGGAGGGAAAGGAACGATTAAGAGGAGGGGGAGGGAGGCGGCACCAAATCCTCCCTTCTTCGTTACAATCTTCTCTTGACCTGCTCGTGCCTTTTATTGTCCAAAGCGGCGAACAATGCAGCAGCTGAAGATGATGTACCACAAGAGAGGGATGGCTGTCGAGCTGGACGACAGGGGGCGGGTCAGGAGCAGCGTCCATGACCCCACGGGTCTCAAGGTCTCTGAGGTCATGGAAGTCAAGGAGACAGACGGCATGGTCTACATCGGCAGTCGAGACCAAGACGCCATCATACGCTTCCCGCTGCCTAAGTCTTATGGCACAGACCTCAGCGTCACGTCAACGTTACAGGTAAGTCTCATGTGACTTTGTGCTACAGGTAAGTCTTATGGTGCAGATCTCAGCGTCACATCAACGTCACAGGTAAGTCTTACGTACACGACGCCAACGTTACAGGTAAGTCTTACATGACGTCAACGTTACAGGTATGTTGTACGTGACATTAATGAAACAGCTTACGTAACGCCAGTGTTATAGGTAAGTCTTACATGACGCCAATGATACAGATAAGTCTTACAGTGCAGATCTCAGAGCGATAACAACTTTACAAGTAAAACTTACTTGACGTCAACGTTACAGATAAGACTTACGTGACATTAATGGTACAGGTAAGTCTCACATGACGTAAATGATTCAAGTAAGATTTATGGTACATACTTCAGCTTAACGTCAACGTTACAGGTAAGTTTTACATGACGTCAGTTTTCAGGTAAGACTTATGGTAGAGATTTCGGAGCGACGTCAATGTTACATGTAAGTCTTATATGACATTAGACGTCAATTGTACAGGTAGGTCTTGCACGCACACAGGCACTCGGCCTTTTCTCAGTTGCTATACTCAGTGTTTCTCCATTATAAGACTCGGTGTTTTTCAGGAGCTTAACTCAGTTTGTTTTCTTTTATTTCTATGAGTTACAGTAGTCAGTCTTCGGCAACAGTTTAACGTGAACTATCTCGGCTATTTGTTTTCGGGTTCGCCGAGGAGCTTACATTTCAGTGACGTATATTTCAGAGGTTTGAAAGAAACGAGGCAAGTGTTTAAAATTGTACCCAATACATGTATTTAAATGTATCACAGGAGATCGCTTAGTTCCCCCCACGCATGCCTGTCCTACTTCTTTACTATCATATTGTTGTTTTTGTCTGTTTTCCTCCGCGCAACACTGAATGGACGTTATTGTGTGGAAACTCAAACCCGACGGTTATTGGCAAGTACTCTTGTCTGGTTTGCTCCTTCTTTCCTGTACAACATCTGCCGTCCTTATTTTTTCTCCTCCTTTTATCTGTATGGTGTATGTTACTCTCTAGTAGTATCTCTAACCTCCGGCATTTGTATGACCTAAGTTGTGTTGCAAGTGTCGTTAAACTTTTATTTTTAAAAAACCCAAACAACTACATTCAATCTCAAACTTAAAACGTATCCCTGTATGTCGTCCTGGTGTCCTCAGGTCCTTCGGAGCAGGTGCAGGGTGAGCGAGGACAAGGTGGAAGCCATGCGCCTCTCGCTACAGCGCAGATACCAGGCCCAAAACCGGCCGCAGACTTCACAGGGCACCGCCTCTCTCCCCCCGCCCACCCACAGACGCGAAAGTTATGCCCCTCCCCCGAGGCCCGTGTCACCCTCTAGGGGCATGTCTTCGCCTCCAGCGGCCGGCTATATTGGGTCTAACATGCCGCAAAATTACAACGCCGCAAACTTGGGCCACGCACCACAAGCCCAGCGTGGGCCGGCTTTGCCCTCCCCCCAGCAGGCTCGCGCTCCTTCAGGATATCCTAACGGACAACAAAATGGTTTCCAGAGCCGTCAACAAATTAGACATCCCAGCTACCGACCCCCACCCCCTACACGCTACAGCGCTGGAACTCCTTACACCCAGTCTGGTCCTTCACATACCCACCCATCACTCATCCGTCCCAGCCAATCACAAACCCCCCCAGGCTCCTTTCAACAAACCCCGCCCATACCAAGTTACCCAGCCAATCGCGGTTTAAATCGAGCCCCTCCCATGAGATACCAGAACCTAAACTTCCGCTCTCAGACACGCCCCGGCGCTTCTATGAACCAGGGGAGACAACAGCCTCCCACAGGAAGACGCACCCCAACCCTAAAGAACGGAGAGTTCCCCTTTGGAATCGACCCGTTCTCCTCCGGACCTCCAGTCGATGTCCCGGTCATCCAACAAGCCTACAGCGACCGTGTTCTAGCACCGAAAACGCCAGCACCCGCCGGGGCTCCCAGCAAAAAGACAAGCGATCCACCACAGAGTCTGGCGTTTAAGAAGCTCAAATTTACACTGTCCAGGCTGAAAGATGTCATCCACGGGGACTCAGAGCCTGCCAAGTCTCCGGAGATAGCCAAAACAAAACCGCCGACATCCCAACAGCGCCAGACACAAATAAAGCAGGTGGAACAGCCCCGAAAGCCGGCACCACAAAGCACAGCATCCTCGTCAGCGGCTCAAAGCTCAGAATCCTCGGCCGCAGCGATCAAAGACGCACTTAGCGGGTTCCTAGGCCGGGTTTCCCAGGGCACAGCCAGCGGTCAGGATGGTCAGAGCGGTCAGGGAGGGTCCGCCAGAGGAGGTTTCATGGCGTTTATTGTCCAGCCAACAACAACAGCAATGCCAACCTCCTCAGAACGCCCGACCTTCCACCCCGCCTCCCCGGAACAACCGCCATTATCCATAGACTCCGCTCCTTACGCCACGCTGGACTTGGGTCCTCTAAACTTAGGTCTCTCCGAAATGATGCAAAACCAGGTGCCTGGTGGCTTGATGGAGCAGACAGACCAGTCTATCAACACTCCAGCGGGACTATCACGTGACCCCGGATCAACCACATCTAACTTAGTGCCAACAAATACCAACAGCAACCCGCTGTCCACAGGCAGTTCACCACAAGGCAATCAAAATTCTCCCTCAAACTCTCCGAACCAGGCCTCATCAGCACCGGCAAATTCCGCACAACCGCAGAGTGCTGTAGTCCGCACTGCACAGAACTCATTCGCAAACCAACTTATCCCTGGTCCGTCCCCACCAAACCCTCAAGCTCCTCAACAAAGCGCGGTCCCAACAGGACCGAAGTCTCCTCATCCCGTGACCCACAACCAGCCGGCCGGCGACAGTCAGGTACCGGTGCAGAAAACTGTCGCCATCACCACCACACAGGAGGTCAATAACAAGGAACCGTCGTCAGACATCCAAAAACTACAGATGTTTCACCCTGGTGACCAGGGAGGTCGCAACAACTTCCAGAACGAGGCTCAGACCAAAGACTTCTCCTCGCTGGGAGGTAGCGACAAGAACGTCATCAAACCATCCCCGGGTATAGCTTCACCATCGGGCCAACTCGGAGCTCAGGGCAGCCAAAACATCCAGCCTCAGCCTCAGCCTCAGCCTCAGCCTCAGCCTCAGCCTCAGGCCCAGGCCCCTTTCGTCCACACGCATGTACCAAAGGACCAGCCACAATCACCCCCCGCCGGTGTGAATGGCCAGAACAGCCAAACTCAGCCCCATACAGGGCGAACAGTTGTACCCAACACTCAGTATTTTTCGGGGGGAAATCTAAACAACCAACAGCAGCAGCAGCAACAACAACAACAACGACAACAACCCCCACCACCAATGACTCCGTCTTTACAAACATTTCGCCCACCACCTCCCTACCCCAATCCCTCCCTAGGGAACACAAACGCTCACAACAACCAATCCCCTCCACACGGACACTCAGCGCAGACATTTGTACCAACAGCTCACGTCCAACCCATACCTGGGACGATGAACAACGAGAACAGCCAGCCTCCAGTTCCTCCTGCAGCGAAGAGACAAACCTTCTCGCCAATGCCCCAGACAAGCAATACACAGATGGCTGCTCAGCCTTCTCGGTCTTTTGACACATTCCCAGCGACTGCCACAGCTACCGAGCAGAGCGTCCCTGGTAACCCAGGCGACCCCCAACCTTCCTTCTCCGGAGCAGCCGCCATTCACCCCAAACAGGCACAGGCGGTCCATCAACTGGACGTTGGCACCATGTCTGACCAGCCCAAACTTCTGGACGAAATCGTAAACGAAGGAGTCCCAAGAGTTACATCGAACCCCAAAAACCGAACAGGGGTTACCTCAGACTTCCCCAGTCCTCTACAGAGCTCACCAGTTCGATCAACCAATCCGGGCAACTTCCAGACACAACAACAGACCGAGGCACCACGAGAAAGTTCTATTCCCAACCCAAACTCGCGTGTGAATCCTATGTCCCCCGTACAACCGGCCACCACACAGGGAGATTTCAAAGGCTTCATCCAGATCTACAAAGGGCCGGGCGAGTACGTCCTTATTCCTCTGAGTCCGTCGAGCCTTTTACAGGTTCTCCAGAACGAGGCTAAGAAAGCCACATATCCAACACAAGTCACACAAAACGTGAATACTCCGGTACATCCTTCTTTTGTGACGAGCCAGCCGGGACAAACAAGTCCACCGAATGCCCCCGCTGGCCAACAAGAACAAGCCCAGGAAGTCGGTCAAGGGGGACAACCAGGTAAAGGGCAGTGGTCTCAGCCCGAGAGTCCACAACAGGGAATCTCCTCGCTGCCACCAAGTCCTCAGTTTCACAATTCACAGCCAGCGGTCAGTTCTAGTGGTCAGTATCAGCAGCCCCCATATAAACAAATGTGGCAGCCCACACAGACGCAAACACGGCAGCCCACACAACATCCCCCCGCCCCGTCAAGACAAGACCAACTCGTCACCACAGCACAAGGAAGTCACCAAACTTCACAAAACGTCCCCACACAACATTCACAAGAACCACGAGAGAATCAGCCAAATTTTCCACAACTTTTTACCCAAAATCCGCAACAGCAACTCCCAGTCCAAGCTTCCTCCCAGCACCAGCAACAAACGCCTCAACCGGGGCAACAGCAAAACGCTCAACAGCGACATTCTGAACAAGAGTATGTCCACCAGCCACAAAAACAAGAACAACAACAACAATATGATATCAACCCAATGTCGCCTCAAACTGGACCAGTGTATAATCAGCAGACTCCGCCTCGCCAACACAGCCCTCATCCCTCACAGGGCTCCATGACGCCAGTCCAGCAACAACATCAGCAGTGGAACCCATTGCCCCCTGCCGGAGTACAACCACTGCAACAGCAGCAAATAGGTCAAATGTGGCCGTCAACACAGCAGCAATCACCTCCACAACAGCAGCTCTGGCAGCTGCAGCAGCAGCAGCAGCAGCAACAACAGCAGCAGCATCAGACAGGCGAGAACCCTCCACCCCAAGGTTCTGTCCAAGGACAAGGCAATGCCGTAGGATTCCAATCCCTGCCACAGCCGTCTATGACTCCCCAGGACCTCGTCCGCCTGACTCAGACCGTCCCCCGCTGGTCTACCACATCAGCCGCCCACCCTCACACAGATCCTACACGCCCACAGCCACGGGTCACACAACAGCCTCCGCAGAACCACGCCCACTCTGTGGCCGCAGCCAACAACCCGCAGTCGCTCGCCTACGTCACCCAATGGCAGGCCTCGACGTCACACACATATACGCCGGCCCCTCCCTCACCGCAAAGTTTCGCCCAGTCGTTGCTTGACGAGTCCCCAAATAAGGAAACGGCCGCTCACGACAGTTTCGCGCAACAGGTTCCTCAAGATCGGGGTTAGACAAAATGTAAAATACACACGAACAACAATTTACAAGAGACAAATTGTGAAACTCATTCAAATATAAACGTGTATCAGACAAACAGTGAGTACACACAAACAGAAACTTTTTTTCAAACAAACCATGAGCTCACTCATCAATATAAACTTTTTTTTTTTTTTAAACAGCGAGAACACGCAGACAGAAACGTGTTCTAAAACTGTGAACTCATTCAAAGAGCAGTTTGTATCACATAGACAGTGAAGTCACGCAAATAGAAACGTGTATCATATTATAGACAAGGAGCTCACTCAAACAGAAACTATTATCAGACAAGAATTTGTGACGAGGCTGTTTTTCGTTAGTACGTACCTTTTGCGAATATTTATGAATATAGCTCAATTAACAGACATAAAGTCCTGCTTATAATTATAAGAAAATGTATATATATATATATATATATATATATATATATATATATATATATATATATATATATATATATATATATATATATAATATAATGTTTTGTCTTTTTGAGTGTCCCTACACACGTTTCTTTATTTTCTATACGTGCACGCGCCATGAAGAGGGTCGAGCCTACGTCTAAGGAGAAAGAGTAGAAAGAGAAACAAGTGGGGAACAAAACACACTCTGTATTGGCTTACTTTGGTCTTATAATCCGTAAATTGGCGAAGAAAAGATGCGACGGGCGAAGACAGTGAAGGTTTTGCAACCACCTTTTATTTTTTTTTAAAGTCTTTTCTTTTTTTTTTGGGGGGGGGGGTTGTTTTGCATTGTTTTGTTCTATTGGGGGTTGTCCTTTGTTATTATACATGTAAAATTGTGGTGACTTCATAATCAGTGACATCTCTGTGGCGCCCCAGTATGTACCCAACCCCTGGTTGACGCTGTGGTATACATTAATATGTCCCGAAAGGTTCAGATATTTTAATGCCACTGCAATTGTCCGGTGTCCTCTAAGGAATTTGGCACCACCCGTCTACGTTAGCACGAATTTTCTTTCTTTTTCTTTTTCTTTCTTTTTTTAAAAAACTAGTTTGTTTTTTTCACAGTCTAGATTGTCATCTATTATTGACCTTGTACATCGTTCCAATTTTGTTTGTTTCTTTCTGTTTTCTTTTTATTTTATTTTCATCAAATTTTCTTTAATAACTTACCTGAATTATTGCATTATATTTTTACTAACCTGTATAACAAAAACATGATTAAAGTAGTTCTAACTCGCACAGAGTTGGATCAAAGTGTGTCTTCGTTTAAATTTTATGATTTTCTCATCTTTCCTTATCTCTGATTTGTTTCATTTGTGTACTTTTTGTGGGAGATTGGAGGATGTCTTACCTCTTATTTTTCAACCATTCCTTCCATTTGTCGTCTTATTTTGATGCCCCCCCCCCCCCCCCCAACTTCCCTCGGTCTCCTGAAACTACATGTCTCAACGTGGTTCATTTAGCTCAAACGCAAGGTTTTTGCTTTATTGCCTAATTTGTTTCATAAAAGATTTTTTCTTTGGTTTTAAAGTAATAGTTTTACAGCACCTGCAACACAAATAGGTCATTTAAGTACCGGGGATCTAAGGTGTTACAAGAGAGTAACATACAAAGAGAAAAAAAAGTAGAGCTAAGGACGATAGATGATTTACAGGAAAGAAGGAGCAGACCGCACCAGAGCACCCGCCAGTCACGACAAGCGATTTTTGATCTGCGAGACTTAATATTGTGATTCTTTAGGATGTGGAATGCCCGTGTAGTGCTTTCGGCGCCATGTTTATGTATACAGGCGGACGTCCACTAGTAAGAGGAGACTACCATGGTCTACCATGCGAAGATGGTCGGGTGAGTCAAACGCAGTGGGGGCAAAAATTCTCTAGAGAATCTTTGGCGGAAGGGACGCATCTTCGGTCTATTAAATACCTAATATCTGGTGCACACTGCCGATCAAATTCAGCCGATTTGAGTCGGGGTCAGTCAGATTTTTCTCCTTTGAGAGGCAAAAGCTACCATTTTTGAGACAATACGACCAATTAGACTATCGACCTTGAAAAAACAATAATTAATCATGTGTGTTTGAGTTTGAAGATCATAATCGAATTTAGTCAAATGCCGTTGAATTATACCAAAATTGTAGCTTTTGTCCCTCCACAGAGAAAAAAATGGCTGGTCCGGACTCAAAATCAAATTTTTAGTGAATTCGATTGGCAAAGTGCGGCCTACTCGAAGTAAGTCTTCTACACTAAACTTGCACCTCTCCTCAAATGTCAAACAGCTATCAACAAACAGTTAATAAACAGATATATACAAATCAATTTAAGGTCGATCTAAGAATGAGACGATTATTTCATCCCCCCCCCCCCCCCCCCCAAATAATATTAAATAAAAATCTCGTTTTTTTTCCAAGCGTTTGGAGAATCAAACGTTCTACGTGAGCTCATCAAACAGTTTCATTTGGTTTCTTCTCTTCAGAATTTGACCAAACCAAATTCGGAATTTCCTAAACTCACCGGGTTCCCCAGATTGTTGAGTTTTTAAGCTTATGAACTATCTCTAGCTGCTGTTTACATACTACAACGGTTGGGAATCTGCTAAATGGGCACTGTCGTCATATACTACTAGACCATAAAGTGGAGATGGTCTTGGGTGATTAAAGTTTATATAAATACAATGTACTGCAATGTCATCCGAGAGGCGGAACCTCAAATCTAACTCTAACGTCCATTTCCGACACGACTGTACCAAAAGGACCTTGGTAATTCCTCGAATAATCCAAATTCAATACCATCCCGTCGGGGGTTCGAGGCAAGATTATCCAAGAGCTTTGGTTCGGTTCGGTTTGCTAGCCAGATTGAGAGCGCAAAGCGGCTATCGTAGCACAACGATCGGTTTTGTCCTTGGAGTAACTAGTAATAGGAGAGGGCGCGAGTCGCGTAACGTGAATCTGCAGCACAGACGGCGGTCGGCCATGTTTGTGAGATCAGCTCAGTTCCCTCAGTTGTAAACTTAGTGTCGACCAAACGGCAGTTTGCGTAGCGTTTGGGTCTGGTGGGGCTCTCATTCAAAGGTCCCGGGTTCGACTCCGAGTAGTGACGGAAAAATTTTGTTCTCTAAAATTCTACATTCTCTGTCGTCTGCTTTCGTCTCCACTTTCTGCCCCCACCTCCTCAGGGCTCCGAACTCTTTCTGCAGCCTTTGTACTGCCACTCCTTGGCTCTTTCTTACCTCTTTCTTTCATCCACACCCTTGATCTTCGGGTAGGAAAGATCTACCCCTAGCCTTCCCGGACAAGGGCGAAAAAATCTCAGAGGTCCCGTATGCAAAATGCGCACTTATAAAGGACCCTTCGTGGTCTAAAATCGATAAGAGTAGGCTTCGGTCGCCACCCGGGCAAAATTTAAAATTTCCTACCATCGTTTAACGTTTAAAGTCCTACCAATGTTTAAAGTGTCCCTCGCGCTCTTAAGACTTTATGCAGTTGCGAGTGCCGTAAAACATTTAAAAGGCCTACGAAAAATGTTTTTTAAAATATCAGTCTCTAGCAAAGGCGCTGAACTTGATGAAGAAGTGCCTTCTGATTTAGCCATATATGCATCTCACAGTCAAAACAGAATGAAAAAGATTGAAGAAAATTCAGTTTGCCATGATGATAACTGCACGTATGTGCATAGATCTAGTCTGGCATACTTGTCAATTTGTTCTGAGAATACAGTTGCTTACATTGCTGGTTTTGTATTTTTAAGGTTGACAAAGCATTTGAAAATGTGAAACCTTAGTTGACTTCAGTGTGTCAAATGTAACTTCCTCGCTGTTTTTGAAGTCTCGTGGAGGTTTGACAGTGCCTTCAAAGAATGTCATTGAAGTGTGGTTGGCGTGTGAATAACATCTTCGATGCCATGTGTCGTCTGTCTGTGCAGGGGGTGGGACATTGTCAAATGAGAAAAGTCACAAATTAGTGCAATATGTATTGAAATTCTTCTTATTATAAAAGCCTATCATTTCAAATTTTCTATTAATTTTTTAATACACTTAACAATATTTTGTAAAATTTTGATAAAGTGTCTGGGTGTTTAAAAGATGCCCCTCCCTACTCGCTTTTTTT